CCGCACCTGCGCCGCTCCCCTCCGCCTCCCCCGGGCTGGCACGGCTCTTCCTCTGCCCCTCTCCCCGTGCAGCTCCGTCTCTTCTCTAAAACACATACTTCCTTATGTAAATAGATGGGAGGGCTGCCGCTTGACAGCGAAGCGCTGTTGTCAAAGTCCAGCTTTGTCAGAGCTGGGGCTTTTGTGGGTTTGGGGCGTTTGGCTGCTTTTTTTTTTCTTCCTGTTCTTAAAAAGGCAGCTGTAATTTGGCTTGGGCTGCTCCATATTTTGGGCAGTGCTGTGTTCGTGGCAGGGCAGATATCCTGAGTCAGGGCGCCTGAAGGGTGAAGTATAAACGATGACAAACAAGTAGCTCGTCAGAGCCTTCATGGGAATTTTTTATCTCATGATAAAACACTGAAATTGTGTCTGATAGGAATTTAATGTCATCCCCCAGCGTTTGCTGTTGGTTCATGCTTGCGTGCCTTTGAACTATGGGCTTAAATTTGGAAAATCTGAGATCACAAATCTCATATTTCCTTGTTCTTTGTTGGCAATAAACTTCATTGTCAGCTGCACCTGTGTGGCAGGTGGAACTCTTACCCCGTGTTTGGGATTTCACAGGAAGGCAGCAGGCAGGTGGAGCAGTGCCAGGATCAGGTAACAGGGCTTTGTCTGCTTCCACATGGAATTCAGGTGGATTTTGTAGCTGGAAAGTAACAAGGAGTTGGGTGGAATATGAGTAAATTTACACAGCTTGTTTTGGTGTATTGCACTTTTGAATTTTGCTACTTTGCTTTTTGAATGAGAGTTTTGTCATGTGTTGTTGGAGCTGTTCACTAATACAGTCACATCTTTTACATTTAGTGTTTGTTCTGTTTGTCACAAAACTGCTGGTGGAATTGAGAGAAATTTGTTTTAGTTGTGAGTGGAAAAGAAGCCAGATTTCATTGAGACTGTGATGGAAATATATCTGTACAGCTCATTTATCTGAATATCAAATAACAAAATGTTTTCTGCTCCAGTACCACCCACCTTGTCAGTGTTAGAATCGAGTTTTAGTTTATATATAATTTTCTACTCTTGTGCCTTTAAAGCTGATGAACTCATGTTTCAGTTACAATGGCCAGGTCATTTACAACAGGTTGTACAAGAGGTGTGGTGTGTTTGGTTGTTGTTAAGTTAATTCAGAGCCCGTTTGGCACCTGTGCAGTTTGAGTGGTTTGAAGTTGTGATTCATGGGTCAGTGGCAGGGTGTGGCCAGTGGGACACTCCTGTCACCGAGGCTTTATTCACATCCGTCCCCCTGGGGCTGTGGACAGAAGAAATACTGGGTGTAGGATTTCTGTATTTGCTAAATTTTAATAGTTGGCAGTGGGGAAGCACTTCTGCCCTTCAGTTCAATATAATAAATAAACATTTGTGTTTGTGGAGTTGGCAGTAGGCAGATAACCAGGATATTGTGTAGGACATGAGAGAATAATCTCTTTCTGATAGTTCTGTTGTAGCTCTGATTAGAATCAATAATTGGTTCAGATACATTGTATTCCTGTCAAAATTAGAGGATTTTGGTCCTTTCCTGCTGGGTTTTACCATTGAAGTTCTGAGAATGGAGATTTCCTATTCTTTGTGAGGTTAAACATCAATACATATTTTACAGCACTGTCTTAATTTCAAACACAGCATTCATTTTGCTTATGGGTTGTGGGTCTGGAGTTCCAAAACAGCATTTTGTGCTCCAGGTTTGCAGATAAATCCATGGCTTGTTAGTGCTGCTGGGTTCATTGCAGCTCATCCCGCTCCACATCGAGCTGGGGAAAAGAGGACAAAAACACCCAACCAAACAACAAAAATAAGGGTTTTTTTGTGACAATTTGTCGTGGCCTGGGGGTTTGCAAGCCTGTCCCTGTGCTCCCCAGGAGGAGGAGCTGTACGCCTGCCAGCGCGGCTGCCGACTCTTCTCCATCTGCCAGTTCGTGGACGACGGCGCCGACCTGAACCGCACCAAGCTGGAGTGTGACTCTGGTGAGCCCGCAGCACCCCCGGGCACAGCTGCACTGTCTGAAACGCTGCCCTTCAGCTGGTGCCATTCTTGCAGTTGTTTTGGGTTTGTTTAACAGCTTCTTGAAGTCTATGTACAGGGTATACAAAAAAAATCCTATAGGAAGGTTGTCGTCTCTGAGTTTCTCCTCAGTGTTGCTGTTTTCCTGAATTTCTCCAGTGTCTGTAAATAAATTAGAAATAGTGCGTTTTACTGTAAACAGTTTGTCATAGAAAACACAAAATGCCTGGGGGGAAATCCAGGCAAATAACACTTATCTTTTAATAATTCCCTGTGACAATCAGTCCCATTTGCCATTCCTGACAAATTTGTATATGGAAGTGAATTGTTCAGTGGAGCAAGAGCACAGATCTCGCTGTGCCTTGTAACTTGTGGTCTGACCTACATCCTGAGCTTTTCCTGCAGCTACCCCTTGGGAATGAGGTACATGTTTTGCTTGGAATAGGCCTTTAAGTCCTGGTTACTAATTCTCTCAGGCTATCTGTGTTAGAGCAAAGATGTAACAGTGAAGATGAAATATAGAATCATTTCAGTTGGAGATCAGGTCATCAAGTCCAACCGTTCCCCCAGCACTGCCAAGCCCACCATGTCCCCAAGTGCCACCCCTCTATGTCCCTCCAGGGATAGTGTGTGATACAAGCCAATTAATAGTGGGTTTGGAATTGTGCAGAACTTTGTTCCAGTAATATTGAGGAAGCTGATTCACAGCTTTATTAAGAAAAGAAAGGCAGGAGCTCTCCACATTTACTACCAATACAATGAAGCACCAGGCCAGCACTCAGGGGAGGCTTTTGTCCTCTCAGTGGCTCCTGAAAGCAAGAGAGCTTGTGGCCAGCTCAGGTAGGGAAGCAGAAAGGCCGGCATGCAGAGATGCTAATGTGTTACAAAAGTGCAGCAAATACTCCAGCAATGGGCTAATGCTCCAGTCTGTCACACTGTGTAGCTGTGACACAGCCTGTCAGTGTAGTTGTCAAACCACACACACAGAGTGCCATAAAGAGGGTAATGTGGCAATAGAGCACATGTAGGGTAATGGAACAGTTGCTTATTTCTGGTTTAACTCTTTCTTGCTGTTGTCTTTGCTGGCTTATGTTCTGTAATCTGCTGGTGGGTGCCCTGAGTGTTCTGTGCTTGGCAGATCCATCTTGGCTGCTCTGCTCAGCTCTGGCTCTGTGCTGCCTGCAGACACTGACTCGGTGGCAGTTGTAGCCTGGAATGGCTGCTCAGGTGCCATGAGCTGAGCACTCAAATGTTCACCTGCTGCTGCCATGCTTCTGCCAGCTTCTTAGTCCTTATGATGGGCCATTTGTTCCTCTGGAAAACTGGGAGAGCTCCTGTCCTCTGTGTTGCTTTTTGGTTGGATTCTTTAGTTAAGGTACTACTGAGACACTGCCCACATAAGTTTCAGAATGGTGCAGGAGAGCTGTGCCTGTGTGTCATCTGCCTGATTTGTCCATGGGCAGAATAAACTAAATTATTCTCTCCAAATAATTTAGATTTCTTGGTCTTTATGATCTCTAGTGAGCAATAAATAATTGCTCTCTCTAAAACAAAGAGTTAGCTTCATTTTTCATAAGAAATTACTCCACAATACTTTCAGTGCAGTTTCTGTATTAGCAGGAAATGCTCCTTTGATTTTCCTGTGATACCATGGCTTCTGCTGTTCCCTCAAAGGGATTTAATGGACTGATGGTCCCTCTGTTCTCTTTAGGATTCCATCTCTGTTCTCTGATGTTTTATGTGATATGTAGAAGAAAGCTGTAGTGGTGGTGGGAGGATCAAGGAGAGCTTGCATCCCTGAGCTCAGCCAGGGTAACACTGGTGATCATTTGCTCTGATTGCAGCCAGATTTCAAATCCCTGCTCTGTTGAAGCTCTGATTCTGTCATTAGACCTCAGAGCAAATGCTACCCTGGGATTGCCATATCTTCCCCTGCAAAATGGGATTGTCAACTGCTGCTTTGTTTCTGATCCAACTTATACTGAGAATGTTTTCTTAACTAAAATGCAGAATTTATCATCTCATTTGGGGAACTTCTCCCTTGCAGCCTGTACTGAAGCATACTCCCAATCTGATGAACAATATGCTTGCCATCTTGGATGCCAGAACCAGTTGCCATTTGCTGAGTTAAGGCAAGAGCAAGTAAGTAGGTGACATGTTTTTCAAATACCACCTACTTGTTTCTGTTCAGTGTGTGTCTTCTCTTCTTAAAATTTCTTCAAATGGAAAATAAATCTTCCTAAGGACTGAAATCTAGACATGAGGTGAGGTGTGAGCAAGAATGTAACTTCTGTCTTGTCATATAAAAACAAATGGAAAAAATGTTAATGTTGTGCTTGCAGTTAATGTCCCTGATGCCACGAATTCATCTCCTCTTTCCTCTGACACTGGTGAGATCATTCTGGAGTGACATGATGGACTCAGCTCAGAGCTTCATAACATCCTCATGGACTTTCTACCTTCAAGCAGATGATGGCAAAATTGTCATATTCCAGGTGCTTCCTTTTTTCATTGAGGTTAAGGTGTCCTGGCTGCTGATTTCAACTCTGGTTCTTCCAGCCAGAGAAAAAACTTCAGAGCATCATCAAAAGTGTTTAGTTTTTCCTAGTATTTCACTGCGTCTGGGGCCATTTTAAAATTCAGACTTAAAAGAATGACTCATGTCTTAAGGTTAATTTCTGTATTAGTTCTGAAAATGTAAATTATCAAAATTATCAAAACCAGTGAAAGCTTTCCAGCAGGATCTCCTAACTCCTTATTTGTTTTAGTCAAAGCCAGAAGTGCAGTATGTTCCACAGCTTGATCAGGACACTGGAGGAGATACAAAAGGAGCCTTGTCACTGAGTAAAACAGCCTGTAAGTTGTTTTTTGTGCTTTGGAAGAGTAAATGCAAATGTTCCCTGTCATGCAAATTTAAAAAATGACGTTGCAGGTGGCATATGAAAGCAAATTTCCTGAAAGCTGCAATGTAATTATTTACTGTGCAGAGCGCACTGCGTACACTTGGCAAAGGGTGGTAAAAACTGAGCTCTGCTCAAATGGAAGCCTGCAAGCTGGGGCTGTTTAAAGCTTCCCTTTATGGTGTCTGTAGGGACAGGGTGTGTGGGGTGTGGGTTTTGCCTCCCATTGCTCCCGTGCCCTCTGTTTGTGCTGTTGTGCCCCAGCAGACGGACGCGCAGGCAGCTCGCAGACCTTCCGGGGGCTCTTCGAGGAGCGAGCCAGCGACAGCTTCTTCAAGTGTCTGTCCATGTACGTATGTCCTGAGCTGGCCCTGCCCCCTGGGGAGGGTGCAGGCCTTTCCTCTGCGTGTACAGCCCTGCTGGGAGGTCTCCAAAGGTTTCCAGGTCTGTAGGATCAGGATGCACAGCATCACAGTTCTGTATCTGACCGTTAGCGCTGCTTTGCTGTGCTGGCCCCGTGTTTTCTGCATGCTGTCCTGCCAACTTTGATTTTTCCTTTCCATTTCAAGTGAAGAACATATTGATAATTTCCTGCACTGTTTTTTGAGTGTGTTCTGGGAACTGTTTAATCAATACTGTGTTTTGCCTGTTCATTAGCTCTAAATGTGTTTTAAGGCAAAGCACTTTGTTTTGGGATTGTGTTATGTAGCACACTGGTATGTCTTGTTTCTAGGCTGAAAATACTCAGTATGTATTTATTAAAGCTTTTTTACTTTTTTGTCAAAAGTTCCCACATGAAGGATCAGTGAGTTCTGCAGATGCAAGAAAAATCTGGTTTTAAATCTGTAAACAGGAGGATTCTTAGGGCCCCATAACAGAACCCTGCAAGTATTTTGTGATATCAAATGGGCATTAGAGTACCCAGGAGTCTGCAGTGGGCTGTGTAGCTGGAAGGGCCTGAGACTAATGAATTGGCAGGAAAGGCAGTCAGAAATGAGCCAAACTTTTTAGAGGTCCATTGTCTTGTATTCAGTCTATGAAATCTATCAACATTCTTGTCATTTCAGAAATTCCAGTTGGATTTTAACCACTACACTCGTCCTGTCAGTGCTGGTGCTGCTCTGGATTTGTTGTGCAACTGTAGCTACAGCTGTAGAGCAGTATGTTCCATCTGAGGTACAGCATTACAGAACTACAATATTTGGAATTTATTCATTATATTGCTTTTATGTTACAGCTGTCCAGAGATGAAGAAATATTTGGGGGAAGTTCAGTTAAGGAAGGTTTTCTTATTTTGTGGCTGTGAATGGCAAACCAATTTTATTTAAATGATGGTTTTATAGCTGAGCATTCTTGCTCATTCCTGTGGCTCTGAGCCTTATTCAGATACGATGTCTTTTGGTTTATAGTGCTGTACTTTCAACAGCCTTCAGGGTGCTCTGAGCAAATGGAGGCTGATTGTCATTTCCCTGGGAATGAAGCTGTTCTGAGGGTGGTGTAGGGGAGACCCAGTGTGGGTTTAATGCAGGAGGATCAGTAGTGAGAGCAGTGACAGCAGAGTTATTGTGATGTGGATGAGTGCAGTCTCATGGAGGAGAGCCGGCACTCTCCCATGCCCAGTCCTGGCTCAGTGTTTGCACACCAAAGGAGCTGTTACACAAGCACTCTATCTGCCCTTGTTATGGCAGATTTCATACATTTCTTCTGGATGCAAGTCTGTTTCCAGCTCTGAATTTCAGATGTTACAGAAAGCCTTGTATTGTAAAGCTGCAGCCATCAGAACCTGGAATGCAAGTGCATAATGAAACTCATTTTATTCACAGTATGGTGAGTCTTTGTCTTAAAGTACCTTGTTTAAATGTTTCAGAAGCTGAGCATCTATGGAGATTTGGAATACATGAATGAGCAAAAACTCAACAGATACCCACCCTCTGCACTTGTTCTGGTTAGATGCAAGACTGAGGAACATGAAGAAGCAGGACCTCTTCCTACAAAAGTCAATCTGGATCAATCTGCAATTTAAATCCATTGGATCCCATAGACTAATTCTAACAGAGCTAGAAACTCCTGATTGATTTTGGTGGTTCTTCAGATGAGGAGCTTAGCAGCCAGTCTTTAAATGCAAATAAAGTTGCAAAATCAACAAATGTCATGGGATTTTGTTTTCAGCTAGTAGAGAAGATTCAGACATTCAGACATGAATTTGTTTGTTTCCAGATATAATCACTTTTCACTGGTGTTTGCTATTGTGTCTTTTTGCTTACAGAAGTTGTAAGCATGCTTTCCATTCTTCTGCCAGGACACTTTCAAACTTACTTGTGTGTTCTAGGATGTAATGTGTACAGTCAGAGTTAGCTTTGTAAAGGTATAAGACATTTTAAGTAGGCAGGACATGCCTTTCTAGTGTTGCACTTTCTGTTGTAGTTAAGAGAAAATATTATAAAATTATCTGCTGAATTTTTTTGTACTTGTTAATGTCCATGCACAAACAACCCTGTCTTCAAAAATAGAAATATATTTTTTCTACAGTGTGGCAATATTCAAGGTGGAAAGCATTTGTGAGTACTGTAAGCTAGAACTCAGCTTGTGAAAGGTGGAAATGTGTTAAAATTCACAGACATATCCCTTCACATGCAGAACATTACATGGTCAGTTATTTTGTCAAACTTTAGCCTTTAAGTCTTAAATTGCTTGTAAAGTTAGCACCTGTGTTTTCTGAAAACTTCTACTTTCTGTTCTTGATTAACTATTCTGGTCTTGTAACTTCATTTACAGAAACAAGTTGATTCCTGAGAAATGAGAGCAGACAAATAAAATTGACTGTATAGAAAACGTTGACTATATAGCTTTTTGCTATGGTTAATTATTGACCACAGCAGGCTCAGTGTGAGCCTGTCTGTAGCCTTCCTCTCATGGGCAACGTGACCTGATTTTGCTGTGATTCACTAACACAGCAGCAATGAACAATGTCCCTCATATCTAACCTATTTTTCGTGGATCTTATTATATGCTGGTTCCCACAGTGTTGGCAGGTTGGGGGTGTTGGTGATTTATTTTAGGGTGTCTGAGTGAATGCTGGCTAGAATGCAGAGTCTTCAATTTACTGTCATTTTTTTGTTGATTAGACAGAATTCCCTCAAAGGTTTAAAAAAATGTAATGAAGAACTGTGGAGATTCTGGGGGATACAGTGATGTATTCCCCCACTTAAACCTGGTTCAGGGGTCGTTCCCAGCTTGTCTGTGAGCAGGTGATGGTGTGAGTGCAGCTGATGGAGCTTTTCAGGAATGTGCAGGGCCCAGCCCAGCAGCGCCTGTCAGGGCTGTCAGGTCATGGAGGATGTTTGTTTTAAGCAGGTTTCTATCAGCCTGCAGGAGCTGCAATCTCAGCTCTTCAATTCTAGGTACCTCTTGATGCTGAGCTCTTCAGTGGCACAGCCCAGAGCTCTGGGTGCCAGCAGCCTTGTCCTCTTTGTAGGTGTCACTGCAGGGGCCTTGCAGGGTGGTGTTTGGGGACACTGCAGGGACAGGAGGTGCCTGTGTCAGTGATGCTCTCTTTCTGCTGGCGCAGGCAGAGCACAGCCCTGCTCTGCTGGGGATCCAGAGCTCAGTGTGATCTGTGCAGCCCTGCTCAGCAATCCCTGCCACTGCTGCCTTTACTTCAGGGATTAGTGCCCATCTTAGTTAGCACTGTGCTGGTTGGGATTTCCAGAAGAGACTGCAGCAATCCCCATTTTTCCAACTGAATAGCTTCTGGAAATGTTTGCAAGTCTGTTCAAATGTTTTCCTTTACCATTACACGTGGTTGCAGAGGGAGCAGCTCTGTGCACACGTGGCTCTGTGCCTGTTCCAGCGTGGACAGTACAACCTCTGTTTGGCTGATGACTTGGTTTCACAAAACTTTCTCTTCAAAACTCCATTGCTTACAGCCCTGGGCTCGAGTTAAGCAAACAACTTGTGCTTTCATTGGGTGTTTTGTCTTTTGTTTGCTGTTTAATGGCATTTCAGCTGGGTGATCTGTGCAGTGCAGGCAGTGATTCAGCCATGTGTTCTTGGGTCACAGAGAGCTCTGTGCCTGTGGCACTCTGGCACTTGGCACTGCTGTGTCCAGAGCCAGCCAGAGCCTGAGGAATTTGGTGAGTGTTGTACTTGTAAACTTGTCGAAAGATCTTCCCTCAGTAAAATCAGATAATAGCAAGTAATTGAACTGTTTCTCAAGATTTCTAATCTAAATGGACTCTTTAAGCTGTCTTGGCATTTGGCTTTGCAAAATGTCATTTCCTATTCATTTTTTGTTAAATATTTGACTTACTGACATCTCCCTTTTCAGAGGCTGCAATTTGGGTTTGATCTCTGCTCAAAACCACTGTTTAAATGAGGAGCCTTAAATTATTGAAATTGCAGGAGGAAAGCATTTTATATTCTCTTTAGGCACGTGTTCAACTGAACCTGTATCAGGTTTAGAATTGAATCATCTGGACACAAATGAGGTGACCTTCTTAAGTGTGTGCAATTCACTGCTGGCAGAAATAGCCCAGGTACATTTGGGGAAAATTGGGGAGCTTTTAGGTGCTAAAATTTACAATAACCTTCTATCATACTGGATACACTGATATTTGTGGCCTCTTCAGCTTTTCTGATATTTGAATTTTTTTATTTATTATTTTTTATACTTCAGAAGAGCTTGCTTATCTTTCTTACATCGCTGTCATGAACTCATTTTTTCTGAGCTCTAAGCAGCCTTTGATGTGGGGTAACTGCTCTGAAATCCAACTGCCTGGTTGGCTACAGCTGAGCTTGGTAATCCTGGAGCAGCAAACAGATGGTGGTAGATGTCAGGTTGTAGAATAATCAAAATTCTTAGCTTGGAAAAGACCTCCAAGAATGAGTCCAACCATTTCCCCAGTACTGGCAGTGCCACCAGTAACCCATGTCCCCAAGTGCCACATCCACATGGTTTTAGGGGTAGTGGCAGCCTGATCCAATGCCTGACAACTCTTCCAGTGATTTTTTTTTTTCTTGTATCCAATCTAATCCTCCTCTGGTGCAATTTGAGGCTGTTTCCTCTTGTCCTGTTGCTTGTTAATTGGGAGAAGAGCCTGATCCCACCTGGCTCCAAGCTCTTTTCAGGGAGTTACAGAGGGTGAGAAGCTCCCTCCTGAGCCTCCTTTTCTCCAGGCTGAGCCCCCCCAGCTTGCTCAGGTGTTTCTTATCTCTCTTGTGCTCCAGAGCCTTCCCCAGCTCTGTTGTCCCTCTCTGGACATCTCTTACAGACATTTGTCCCCAAGGGTGGGTTGACTCCATGTTTTAAACTCTTCACTGTAGATTGTTTTGCAGGGTATGCACAGCTGGCCTGCTTTACCTGGCTCTTGCACAGGGCTCTTAGCAAACTCCCAACCACCTAATAAGCTTTAGGAAGGCTCAAAATAGTCCTGTATCAAGTCTGATTAGAAACTGAGACTTCCTCTTTAAAGAGCAAGGGATCCAGAGTTCAAGATGTGCTTAGTCTGACATTTTTCCACATTGCAGCAGCTGCCCAAACTTGCAGACTGTTTGCTACTTGGCATTGGATGTTTTCACCCAAGATCCTTCTTGAAACAGGAGTTTTCTACCACCACCCTTAGTAGTGATGTATTCCTGTGAGAAGTTTCTGTTTTGGACAAGTTGGCGCTGCTGTCCTGAAGGAGGAGCTCCTACAAGGCTGTGTTTAATTGTGGCTGGTCTGTGAGGACAGGGTGGGGATGCCCTGGCCATGAGGAGTGTGTTAACTCAGCATAACTGGGGGGATGGAGAGGGAAGTTGGAGCTGTGGTTGTCCCTCCATGTCAGGCATGATGTGGTGCTTTGAGTCAGCTCAAGGCAGTGCCAGCTCAGAGACAGCCTGGCTGCCAGCCTCTCCTCCATAGCCCTGGTGGGACTGTCCTGCCCGGGGAGGAGTCATGGCCTGTGGGGTGACAACAATTTGGAAGCACTTGAGTCCTCTGGACCCTCTTGCAAGAATAACCCAGGCTCCTCAAAAACTTTATGCTTTTTCTCCTCACTACCCCCAAGAAAAGCTGCCTGCTTGTGAGATTTCATCCTTGAAGCTGTAAAACTCCTCTCTGTGGGAGCTGTGCCAAGACGTGCAGTCAGTTTAGAAGGCTCCAATGTATTTGTATGTTCATGGTTGCTGCAGGCTGAGCTGCTAAGCCTTCCTGCAGGCCTGGAAATTCGAGCACTCAAGTCAAAAAGGACCCTGGGGAATTTCCTGTGCCTGTGCTCATTGCCCAAGCCAGGAAGCTGTTCCAGATGGTTGTACCCTGCACAGCTCTCCTGAGAGCCCATCATCTGGCAGGAGCCTGGGCTGGTGCTGCCACAAGGGCAGTGGGACAGCTTTGGCTTGGGAAGGAGGTGTGGAGACAGGAGACTTTCATGAAGATGAGACTTTCATTTCCCTCAAGCTTTAACTGTGCAGGGGTTTTCCATGACCAGCACGGGGATAAATGCAGTCAGCATGAGCTAGAGGTGAGTGCTTGTCTTCCAACCTGGCAGCAGGGCCTCAGTTCCCTAAATCTCTGTTTACTCTGAGCTGTCTAATGCCCTGTTGCGAAACCACGTTCAGGACAAGAAGAATGAGAGAGTTTGCTGTTGGCTTTCGCTGGGGGCTGGAGCAGAGGCTCAGCACTGCCCTGCCAGTCCCTCCTGCCTGTGAGGTGCTCTCCTTGCTCTCCTGCCTCTGTTGGGTTTGTATCCTGGTAACTTTACCTGTGCTCAGGTGCAGAGAACTCCCTGTGGTCCCTGGAGCTCTGGGAACATGAACAAAACTCATCCCCAGGTACAGTTCTTCAGAAAAATCCTACATACAGCTGTTCTCTGAAGTGTTCTTGCAACTGCTGTTTGCCTGACCTCTTTATCTCTGCTTTCTCTGAGATTTTGAGTTGTTTCTCTGAGATTTTGAGCTGTTTCTCCTTACCTTGATACAAAAGAGAAGAGTTGATATAAAGCACTGGGCTTGGTTGGTGTTTGTTTTACAAATGGGCAATTAAGGTTTAAAAAGGGATAGGACTGATTGTTTTGGGAATTAAAGGTGGGCCATGTTTTCACCGAGGCAATTTTTTCTTGTATGTAACAATAATGGGGTACATGAGGCATTTCTGGGTAAGATGTGAGAATTAGAAAGGTGAAGTTTGTGTGGCTGTGGGATTCTGTAAATCCCTTTTATCCCTTTCCTTCCAGAGAAACGGTGATGTAGCTACTTTTGGTTCAACAGAGTCCTTCTCTGGAAAAAAAGGTAATGAACAAAATGCAGAGTTCTATTATTAAAGTATAAATCAATGGAAACTATCAATGTAATATAAAATACAACCAGTATTTATGGTCTGTTTGGACTGATTTTCCCTCTTGTCTGTGCAGGGAAATGTCCAGACTATAAAATTAATAAACTTCAGCTGTTCTGTGTTGGCCTGGAGCTGGCAGACATATGTACAGTTGTATGATAGGTGATCCTCATCTGTCACAGGCTCACAATGAGCTTGCTGTGGCCTTTCCTATGTCTTAATAGCCAAACTTCAGCAAATTTTGCCCATACTCTGAAGGATGAGGTGGGATCAAAGAGAACCAAATAGCAAGCCTGTAGTTCAGCTTGCAACATTTCATCAGCACCATTATTTTATACTCAAGTCTGTTTGTAATTGTTGTGCTTTGTAGTCAGAGGTGTTTTGTAGACACAGACGTGCTGCAATTCACCATTTCTCTTCTGAGCTAAAATCTGTGTTTGGCTCCTGCTTGAGCATGACAGGGGGAGCTTGCTGGAATCAGGATCCTTTTGCTGTTGAGCAAAAGCTGTCACTTCCCTTGAGTTTGAACACTAAAACAACTAAGTAAACACATAGCACAGCTAATAAAAATTCTAACTTAAAAGCTCTTTCAGTTCCTGAAAGCTCTTTAAAATTCTAATTAAAGATTTTTAAGTTCAGCTGTACCAAAATCAATTATTCAGACAGGATTGCCTTAAGTGACTGGTTACTTGTTTCTGAGATGACCACACTGATATTTTTTGCTATTGGTCTGGGAATATGAAGGAATGGAGGGAAATACCCTGTAGGTTTCGAGGCAGAGCTGCAGGTGCAGGTTGCTGAGGTGAGGGTGGGTGCCTGGCATGGCTCTCCCTGTGCTGCCATTGTCTGCTGTGATTGTGGGTTTGGCCTTTAGCTTCTGCAGTTGGTTTGATTTATGTCCCTGACTTTCTGAAAGCTGGAGGCCCTGGAAGGTTGCTGTGCCCTGGAGATGTTGGTAGGGAGGGGAAGAGCAGCTCTTCAGTTCCTTCTCACCATTCTGTGCTCATAGTCCAGCCTCATTCCATGGGGGTGCGAGTCCTGGCTGGGGCAGAAAGCCCGAAGTGCTGTAAAATGAAATCTTAGCCCTTGGGGAGTTTTGTTATGGGCTTTGGGAGGGCACCTTCCCCAGCCTCACACCAGCCTGCCCTGTTTCAGTGTCCCTGCTGTCCCACAGGGGTTTGACCTTCATCCCCCTGCAACTGAGCCCACAGGATGAGCTCCATGGAGACGTGGGGCTTGTGCATTCCACCTCAGTGCTCTGTAGCAGCAGCACAGGTTCTTCCACACTGCAAGCAGCAAAATTCCCCACTAGGAGGTGTTTAATGGAGGAGTTTGGCTCTTAAAACTCAACTCTCAACCCCTAACCCCCAGCAGCCCCCATGCAGAGACCCCAAAACATCAGCCTCGTGTCCCTGCACTGTTCCCTTGTGAAACACCCCAGACCCTTCCTCAGCCCCTCACTGTCTCTCTTGCCTTCCCCAGGGTGCTGCCATGGCTGTGGTGCCCGCCCTGGCTGCACACAGAGGCGCCTCTGCATCTCTGCCCTAGCGCTGCTCGTCCTCGCGGCCGCCGTGGCCTCGGTGGTGGCAGCCCTGGCACTCCTGCCACGGGCACCAGGTTGTATCCCCAGAGGGGTTGGTTTGTGGGTAAGGGAGGCAGAAATGGTGCTGCATGAGCACAGCTGTACCAGCTTTGCTCAGCCCAAATGGCCACCAGCCATTCCTTGCTCCACAGGGCTGGGATAACTCTGGATAGCACTGTCATACTTAAGACTGCTGGTGGGGTTTTCAGATTCTGCCATGAACCTACCAGAAATTAATCCTGGTCCCTGGTTATTTCCAGGACAAAAAATTAATTTCAGAATCCCACCTTTACTCCCCTTGATCTCTTCCTCTTATCACAAAAATGTTGGAAAATAAAGGTTTTCTTGCTTTCCCCTCAGTGAACCGCCTCTGCACAGCCCCTAATAACAGGACAGGCTTCCTGTGTGACGACAGAGTGACTTGTGTCCCTGCCAGCTGGGTCTGTGACAGAGTCAGCAACTGCAGGAACGGAGAGGATGAGCAGGAGCAGCTCTGTGGTGAGTGCTTTTGTTGTGAACATTCCCCCTGCACTGATCTTCCAGCTATGAGACAGCACCCAGGGTTCCTCTAACCCTGCTCTGTGCTTCTGGCTGCCTACAGAAGCAGATAGGCATGGTAGAGCCTTTGTAGGGCAGATGCTGAGAGATGGCACTGCCCAAAACCTAGCAGCAATGCCAGGATTTAAAGACTCCAAGCTCATCTGATCTTCCTAGGATTTTTTTTTAAACCATGTTGTAGTTTTCCTCCATCAGTGAAACTGTATGCATACATGGGTAATTTATTGTTCAGTCACCCTGTGGAAAAAAACTAAATAAAGCAGTAACCTGGGGCAGACTTCCTGTGTCCCACCACAGAACTTCTCCATTTGTTCATGTTTGTTTGATGCCGCAGGAGAAGTGTCCCCATTTTAGCCATCCCCAGTTAAACTGGGGGAGTTTATCATGTCCTCTGTGTGTCCCCTTGCAGGTGACTTGCCCCACAGCCTCCCAGGATATCTGGTTTTCTACTGCAGCAACCCCAGATCCTGGGTTTATGCTGACCAGAGGTGTAATGGGATGAACGACTGTGGGGACTGCTCTGATGAATCGTGGAGCTGTAAGTCTGTCTGTCTGCTGGCTCCTGTCTTTCTGCTGATGGATTGCAGCAGCTTCCACAGGTGTGGTGCTCGTGGATGCTGCTGGAAATGCCTGCAGGCTGGCACCCACCACTGAAACACAAAATAGCTGGGGTGGGGTGTGAGCGTGAGCCCTGCAGGCTCAGTCCCCTGGCTGCCGAGGCTTCCGTGTCAAAGCCTGGCGGCACCTGAGAGAGGAAAGGCTCAATGCTTTTCTCCCAGTCCCAAAAATTGCTCTTCCTCTGTGGCTTGCTGATGATGTGGAGCAGTTTCATCACTATGTGTGGCTGTTAGTAGTAACCATTCAAACTGGCCTCTGGTAGCTGGTCAGCAGATGGGTGAGTCTCCAAGCTGTGCAGGAGCTGTCTTGCTAATATGAGCAGCAGATTTGTTCCTAAGTTACCCCCATGGTTTTGGACAAAAAAAAAAAGGGGGGGGGGGGAAATTACAGTTAGTTGTTCCCCCTCAGGATGGCCTCTCTGCCATGAAGGTCACTACAATGTCACACTCTGGTTGTGACAGCGCCAAGCCAGTGTCTGCTTTGGTGGGCCCACAGTCACAGTGTTGTCACCAGCAGCTTTTCTGCTAGGGGGATGAAAGGATTTGACCCATGGAAGGGAGGAGGCAGAGGGTCAGTGCAGCAGAAGCATTTCAGTTCCCTGTTTTCTGTCCTTCCAGCAGCTGCCTGTCCCCCGTGTGGGCAGGAGTGGTGGAGCTGCATCTCCGTGCACTTCGAGTTCTGCTCCTGCATCCCCCGGAGGCTGTGCCGGGACGGAATCCAGCACTGCCTGGGCTGGTCCGACGAGTTCCTCTGCCCAGCCTGAATCCTGGTGCCCATCCCTGCTGGGGACAGCAGGGCGCTTCCCACACCTCACCCTGGAGCCTCGGGTCCTGCCATGCCACCTGCTTGGGGAGCTCCAGGCCGAGCAAATCCCCCTCATAGCACAGGGACAGCAACAGATCCCCCTCACAGCACAGTGACCCCGACAGATCCCCCTCACAGCGCAGTGACACCAGCAGGGCCTGTGGCAGCGCTCTGCTGGACACTGGCTGTGGGACAGCTGCCAGGAGGCTGTGCCATGTCAAGGGGACATTTCCTTCATGGGCAGCACTGGGTTGGATGCTGGGCTGGGGAGGCTTCACCAGCCATGGCTGGCACTGCCTGGCCAGGGGTTCCTCCTCTCTGGACATCCCGGAGCCTCTGCAGGCCGCCACACTGAGAGCTGCCCCAAGCAGCAGGAGCTGAGTGAGGCTCCATAGGCCCGATCTTCACTGGTTCTTCTGTTTGTGCTCAGAACACATCTGCAGGTGCTTTCAGCAGTGGCTTTGAGGGCTCTGTGCTGTTGCTCCTTGGACACTTCCTTGGGAATGCTGTGCTGGGAGTGACACTGTGACACTGTGGGGAGCTGCTGCTCAGGCCACCTCCTGCTCTCTTCTCAAACCATGAAGGCCAACACAGAAGGTGAAATTGCATGGAAAACTGGAGAAGTTTCAGGGTTTGGGGGGATAAAGCATGTCCCTGTGACAGAGTAGCTGTCCCTGAGAGCCAGGGCAGAGAACCACCATAAATAAATAACCTGCTCTTCACTGAGGGCTGTGCAGTTTTGCAGCAGCAGGCTGAGAACATCCATGGAGCTGGGATGGGTCTCACTGAAGCTGGCAAAAAAAGGTGGAAAAGGAAGTGTCAGCCTTGGAGCAGAGAGCAGCAGAAAATCGAGTGCTGCTCCCAGGGTGGTGTGGGATGACACTGGATCTGTTTGCTGCTTGTTTTGTTCCTCTGCCAGCAGGGCACAGTCAGGCAGCCAAGCCTTCCAAGCAGTCCTCAGGATATAGGTGTGGACATGACACTGAAATGGAACAAGATGAGGTTTTCTCTGCTCTTTTGAAAATCTCATCTGTGTCTAAAACATGGAGGAAAACCCCACATTTACAGTGAGTACTCTTACTTTTCTAGGTCCAAAAAAACTCCATGAGGTGATCTTCTTCCCTTTGCCACCTCAGGTCATAGATATTTAAAAATAAACCCCTGTTCCCTCATTTCTTCTCAGTCCTGTGATCTGCAGCTCTGCCTGTCACTGTAACTCAGATCAATGGTGAATGTTGCTTGTAATTTGTCACTGGGATACAGCTGGAAATCTGAGAGATCTTCTTATAAATAGCTTTACAGTATTGTGACTCACACTCTGCCTGGAATGAGATGGCAAAACTCTGCACAGGGGAAAGGCAAAGCTGCTTTTACTCACCTGTCTCTCTCCAGGCCTGGCCAGGGTGCACAACTTGTTTTCTGTGCCCATAAAATGTCATCCAAGTGCAGTAAGGATTGAACTAATCAGCTGTTAAAAATATATATAGGAACCCTCATGTGTAGGGCCCAGGTAATGGGTTTGGTAAAATTAGGATTGGTTGAAAAATATGCATCTCTCCATGGTCAGATCAGCATATCTCCAGTGGTGGAAGGGATGGCCAAAAATTCCATGGTGGCAATTGCACCAGAGACAGCTTGAGGGGGAAGATTGCACATCTTCCTCCCCACTGAGCCACTGTTTTGAAGCACAATTTGTGCCATAATTTGTCTCAGCAGAGACCTGATGTAGTTGTCAGGGGAAGGTATTAATAGCCTTGAGTTTCTGGGAAAAGAAATTAGGATTTGAATGCAAGTGTGCCTGTTTTGTTTGTGTGTAGTCCTTTTTTGAGGAAAATTCAGCAGTAAGGAAAAGACAAAGGGGTTTTGTTCTTGATGCATTTCTGAGCTGAAGTTCATTTTCTTGGCCTCTTCATGGTTTCCAAGGATGTGCTGCTTTTTCTTGGTGATGAATTATGGTAGACAACAGTGTAAAAGGAAGAAGCACTATAGGGGAAACCTGGAGAAAATCCTTGGCCTCACGAGGCCCAAGAGGACAATGATGAGCACTGTGCTCCTCAGCCAGTTGTGATGGAAACACTCAGGGCAGCAATTCAATGTTTAAGTTACCTGCAGCATTAGAGCTGCACAGACCAACACAGAACAGCTCTGAGTGTCCAGGTGATTTACAGCTGATCTGCATAATTAATATTTGAATTATAAATGCCCCTCAATGTTGTCAGATGGAGCACAGTTAGTGTATTGCAGGCACACTGAAAATGGGTTTTAAACCACAGAATGATCTCAAATGCAGTGAATTTGCTTGTAAGGGAAAACAAATTACAACTGCAGAGCATAATCTCTACAGTAACCTCATTCCAGCTCTCATTTCCTGGGCTAAAATGAGAAAGAAAAGGGCCTTGTGTTCCACTTTGTGCTTCTGCAATGGCTGTTGCTGAGGTGTTACTGCCTCTGCCTCCCTTCCCAGAGGTCTGTGCTTATCCTTTGTGCTCCCTCCCTCTGCACAGCCCCATCAGCACAGCCTGGTGCTTTCAGGCTGAGCTTTCTGTTCTAGCAGCACTGTAAACATCCCATGGCACTGACAAGCCCAGTGCAGCTTCATTTCAGATGAGCTGCAGTGATTTGTGTCCTGCCCCTCGAGAGGCAGGGGAGCAGCATGGATGGGAGCAGCTGTTTTGGTGAAAAACACTTTTATCAGAAGAGTTAGTTAAGGATGACAACAAAAACTTTATTTGAAAAAATTATTATGTATTGAAAATATACAGTAGCATTACCAACCTTCTTGTCTCTATCCCTCCCCCAGCACAGGCTACCCCACAGGCATGTCACAGCAACCAGATTTAACAGTACTTTGTCACTCCCTCTCAATATGTCCAAATCCTGTCATCAGCAAGAGAACAACAAACAAAAGACCCACTTCTTTCTGACTCAGTAGGTATTTAACAAATCCCAGTCCTCCACAGTGAGGCACAGATGCTTCTGTTTGGAAGTCCTTTCTCTCTCTTGTTCAGCCAAAGCTCTTTTTTTATTGTTCTTTAATTCATGGCTGCCTGCAACCTCCTTTTTCAAAGGTAAATGGCAATTTTCAACGTTTTCTTTATAAAACTGCAAGTTTCCAGATGCTTTAGTTTCTGGCTCCACCAGTGTGCATTTGACTACTTCCTCTATTCTGTGTGTCTTGCCATCTACAAGCAAAAATAGCAAGTTTAGATTTTGGGAAAAACAGAATTATGCTGTAAAATGCAGAACTTTGGGATACAAACTGTTTTGGCCAAGCCAACTTGGAAATTGCACAGGAAAAAAATAGCATTTATATTTTGGACTCAGAATATTAAGGAAAAAACTCAGTTGTTATATGAGCTGTACTTGAATTATCCAGAAGTTTAACAAATGAAAAAACTCAACTACATTGTAATGCAGTTAAACAAAGGGCTGGAACTGCACATCTGAGATGCTATTTGTACTATAACCAAAAAAAGTATGGGAATAGTCCCAGTAGAAAAGAAAATAAATCAACTCTGTGGTGTCCATGCAGTTACGTACAGAAGTGAAGAGCTGTTACTCTGGATCTCAGGTTGTCCTGGGGCTTCATGGCCTCCAAAACTGCCTGCTCCCACTGCAGAACTGTCTGAAAGAACAAAAGAAGCAGTTCAAATGTCTTGTAAAACTTACAGAAATATCATTGGAAACAACTCCATCCCTTGTTCTTTCCTATTCAGCAATTTTGTATTCTATATGGCAAAATTTTAGAGAGTAAAACAAGTTTAACCCCCCTTACCTGCTCTGCCCATCCCTCTGTTTTGCAGTCACTGTGATCAAATTCTTTCAGAGGCACTTTTGAGTGAACCAGGCCTATTTGCATTTGAAGCCGCTTTTTGACAGCATCAACATCCTGGGAAAAAGGACATAAAGCAGTCAGAGGGCAAGAACTTTTATTACATTTGTCCAGTAAACTTCTTCTGATGGTTTTTACCTTGAGACCTGTCCCAGAAATGTCCAAACAATTCAGTTTCTTGAAAGAAAGAAGGTATCCAATTCCCACATCTGTGATTTTAGGGTTACCTGTAAGGCCAAATAAAGTTAATTAAGTTGCATGACGTGGAAAAAGATTATCAAAATACCAAGGAAGTATTTGTTCCAAAAGCTAGTACTGGAACAAGACTGACTTTCCCCCTCTAATTATCAAAATAGAAACATTTACAACACAAATTCTCAAACTACTAAAAATATTTATGTAATTAGCAAATGCCTGAGACCTCAGGCCTGCCCTGTGCCTTCTGGGAGGCTGCTGGTCAAATCTGGGGCTGGCTCATAGGAATCAACAAATTAATGGTATTCCTTCAGTGGAAAGAATCCTTAAGGAGGATAAATCCTTTATCAGAAAGGACACAGGTTTTCTCTGTTGTGGGACATGGAGCACTTACAGGACAAGTCCAGCACCAGCAGATTGTCCAGCCCCTTTTTCAGCACACGCACGGGCGCTGTCATCCTGCGCAGGCCGGCGTCTGACAGGGAGTTGTCCTTCAGGAGAAGCCTCTTCACGCTGCCAGCACAGATACAAACACAGAGTTTATGGTCATTATTCCTGAGAGTTTTGCAAAATGTCCCAAAACTCCGTGTCAGAAGGGTCATCCTGTGCCAAGCCCTCCAGGCTCACTGTAAAAAGCAGTGAGGAAGGAGCCTGGGTGAGCAGGAGTAACAAATATCTTTATATTTCCCTGCTAGCTCAACAGAAGCCCTGCTTGAGCAGCAATTCCCACAGCTCCAGTGACAAACTGATCCTAGAGCCAAACATTTGCCAACAGAGACAATAAGCTTCTTTATACCCTGAAGTTCTTTAAACCCAGGCTGCCAAACTGAAATGCACTCAAAACTAAGAAAAACTGCTTGGCAAACTGAGAGAGGGCAGATTCGATAAGTGATCATAAGCAGTGATTTTAAGAAAATAATGAGGTCTTACAGCACTGATTAACAAAACTCAAGGAAAAACATCAAATTGAAGTGCTCTCCTCAGAGCACTTCAAGATAAAACCTTGATGTAAAATGCACCAAAATCTTACAGCAACATAATATCCTTAATTAGCAGTCATCCTACCTAATGCTTCCAAAATTATCTACTTGTCATTTTTTGGTACCAAACAAAATTACAAAATTTACTGTTTTGAGATGTTAACTAACCAAATAATCAACATCCTCCTTGCAGAAATCTTCATGGAGAACACTAGTTTGGTTAAAAATTTGGCTGATAAAGTTCTCCCTTAAAAATAGGGAGAACTGTTCCAAATGTTAAAGATGCATTTCTTACCCAGACAATAAAAATTATAAAGAGTTGATATAAAACATGAGACAGTAAGTTGTCTTGCATAATTTTACTACTTTTTATGATTCAGTATGTGCTTTGTGTACAATAAATTCTGTATTTTGTTTACCTACAGAACAGGTTTTATGAACAACCAAAATCTTCAGCCTTACACTCTGCAGCCTGTGAAACTTCCCTTTAAAGTCTCAGCCTGATTCTTTGAACTGCTTAGTGGTAGGAAAGAAAATGTCATTTTTAGCTCAAGGAATTGGTACCTAGACAGGGCCTCTTTGGTGAGGTGTTCCAGCAGCTCGTGTTCATCTCCAAGTTTACAGCAGGAGAGATCCAAACATGTCAGCTCCCGGAAAGACTTAATTTCTTCAAGCTTTTCAGAGATAACCAGATATCTGCAAAGCCAAAAAAAGAGAAAAAAGCCCTGAGTGCTCAGGCATGTAGGGAGGTGTCTACATCCCCAAGTGTCATAAGCACAATGAACTCGTTTTTGCTAAGTACTATGTGAAAATTGACAGAAATTACCCAGCTGCACTAAGCACCTCTTTATGTGCAGCTGGCACACAACATGTCTGAATTCCCAGTCTTCTCCTTAGATCACTGTCATGGTTTTGATTCAATGCAAAATATTGGACTAACAAGACTTCAACTTGTAAATATTGCTATTAGGAGCTTCTTTACAGATTATTACTGTATTATTTCAGAATAATGCAAAATATCCCAGATTATCACAAGTCAGCTTCACAAACTGCTCTTCCTCAGTGTCTAGGAACAGTATAGACAAACCCACATTCACCCAGGCTTAAAATCCACCTCAAACATGGATTTTAAACAGGACAGGACCGCTTGTCAGTGGCAAAATTTTATTTTTTATATATGTCAATAAAATGCTTGACTAGGAGTGTACAAGTCCAGGACTGGCCAGAGCTGTGGCTACACCCTAGGCAGCAGTTACTCAGTGGTTTTTTTTTTTTTTTTTAGCTGTGCTGGTTCCCTGCTCTGATTCACTCAGCAGCCACGCAAACATCTGTGCTGGAGCCATTCAGTAGGAGGCTCAGAGATGGGAACAAACCACTGAAGAATGGCAGGCATGAGTATGCAGTAATGAGCACGTAGCCCTCAGAACCTCCCTGCAGTCACCTCTTGCTGCCCCTGTGGCTCCAAATTCACTGATCTCTCCTGAATTTACCTCGTATTCCCCATGGCAAGACACACCCTGAGGTCAGCAAATTCACTGCATAGACCGGGGGTGATTTTTAATTTGATCCCTGCAGGAACACCTCTTTGTCCATGCAAATAAGAGGACCTTAATATCCTCCCAGGGTAATTTTACCCATCAAACCACCCCCCTCACACCCTTGCCTGTGCAATTTGGCTCTGCAAAAAGCACAACATACAGTCAGAGCATAAGCCAGTTCTTGAGAGAGATTATTAGCTGTTAGGGTTCTGGAGAGAAGAGTGGGCTCTTTTAGAAATAAAATTCATCAGAAAACGCCTTAATGCCTCACTTCCTGGATTTCAAAGACTTGATACTTAACTCAGCTTTCTGTAGTGGCAAAAGATGCCAGAAGTAGCTTAATTTCTAAATTAAGCCCATAAAATTATCTGTGCTAGAGATAAAAAGGGAGTAGGTTTAAAGGATAAAACAAAGGATAATTGACTTCTACTCAAACATTCCTACTGTGCTCAGAACACCCTTGGCACTTCAGATGAATATGCCAGTACTTTGATTTTAAACTGGATAAACCATTCCTTTTTCAAGTATAAAGATGGAAGAGAACAGTTCTATTACTGGGAAGGACTTCAGTAGGAGCAAGGCTTTAAAAACATAATCCAGTTTTAAACTTGGCCAGACTCTTTCAGTTAAAGATGTGGCCATTGAGAAGATGGAAAAACTAGTGCTGGGCTGTAATCAGGACCTTGTTAAAGTACAGTCAATATGGGGATGGCAACGACAATAAAATAAGGTAAAACTCGCCTGATTTCAGAGCCTGAAACTTACCCACAAGTCTGTATCTTCTTCTAAGCCCCCAAAATGAGACATGACAGCAAGCTTATATAGTTGGTAAACCTGAACAATTTGCAAGGGTGTATTTTATCTGTACAGTCAGCTAAGTGTGCTGAAAAGCTTTTAAACAGCAATTACAGAAACATCCCATGAAATGCCTGAGAAGGCACTAAGCACCTGGATTTCCATAGAACTGCTGATGATTATTGTTAAAAATAGTTGCAGGTTTAATCCTCCACATAAGATCCCCTGTTGGTTAAAAGAGATGTATTCTGTCACCTGTTATGATTTTTATCTTAAAATGAAACCTACAGCTGCACTTGTAGGACAGGTATGGGATGAAAGGCAGCAAGCACAAGAATCAGATAAGGCTCAAGGCATTTCATTAAAATTAGGTGGTGTTGTAAGCCCAAAATGTATTTTAAATTTAATTTAGGGGAAGCTTGAAGTGTGCTAGCAGAAGACAAGATTGTTAGGGGACACACTTACCTGTTCCGCAAGCACAGTGAGCACAGCACCAAACTGCCATAGGCTTCAGTGAACTTCTGCAGAGCTCTCAGTCCTGTCACTGGCTCTGTGAACTTTTGTCTTGCTTCTGCTGCTGAAAAGAGCTTTTCAGCAATCTGCTCTGGGAAACCAATCAACGAGTCAATGTGATCTACATTGTCAGAAATGTAACCCAGCACGAGGCTGAAGAGGGACTTGGCCGAGTAGCGGAGGTTCCCCTCTTTGGTGTACGTGAAGATGAAATGATCAGTCCTCTGCCTCCTTGCCCTATCATCCTCCCTGTTCATGCACAGCTCCACTGAAAAAGTTCTGGAAAACAGACTAAAAGGTCTTGCTTTGGGAGTGACATTCTGTACGCCGCCTGCACCCCGATTTACCACATGCAGCTTCCCATTTTCACGCACGTATATTGGCCCAGTATCCAAATGGCTTTCTGAGTGGAGACAGTACGACATTCCCCTCGACCAGCTCTGCAAAAACAAATCACAGACAGGTGAACAACAGCCACAGAGGAAAACATGACCCAGGGAAGCCCCTAGAGCTGGCAGTTCCCCTTAGAGCCCTGAGCATGGCCACGTAGCAAGGAGAGCAGGCTGTGTGGAGCAGGGCTGTGAGCTGCCTGCCACACACCCCATCCGAGTGGGAACTGGCCCCGGGCTGGCTGAGAGGCCCGGGATGGATCCCAGGCCGGGGATGGAGATGGGGTAGTGGGAGAGGGGCTGGGGTTGAGTGGGAAGTGCCCCCACAATCAGGCCTGGTTCTGCTGCAGGCAGGAGCAGGGGGACGAGGAGGAAGAGGAGGGCACATGTCTGACT